GAAAAACAATTAATCTGCTTGAAATATGTGGGTTTATTGTTTTCATGCTATCGATTTGTTTGTATTGTATTATGATTCATCATTTTATAAAATATTATTGATTCTTTCTACTGATAAAATTGTGTTTGAAATTATATGTAATAGCACTAAAACAATGAGTCTTCAGTATCTTTCAAATTGCTGAATGATAATTTTCTTTCCTCCTGATATATTGAAACTGTGGGTGCAGCTTCTTGTGGGCTTGGTAGTTTGCGGTGATTAAGAGAGATCCAACGCGGGGTGAAAAAATATGTCAAGTTCTCTTCTTGTGAGAGTAACTTTTCTTTTCTTTTTCAATTTAAACTAGTAAAATATGACTCGCTTTTCAGTTCATAAGATAATTTTAAAAACTAGCGCATCATTTAAAAACATGTCAATGATTTCTTACAAATATATTGGTAATAAATCCTGGATCAACTTGATCTTTTGTCAGTCTAACAGTTTTGTGAATAAAGATAATGGTCAGTTGGTGATAACTGACAAAGTCCACAGTGTTAAGATACTGATATTAATTTAAATTAAAATTATTATTATTTTTCATTCCCTGAATTCGGAATGGCATAAAGGACTTCAAGCTTTGAAGTCACAGTAGCAGTGGCGTTGCTATTTTTCGCGCCCAACCTTTCCTCTTTTCCTGGATTACTACCAGCTACAAATGTAGGTTTAAGATTAGGCATGAGTCGGCTGGAAATCCAACCCGGAACTCCAGGATGGTCGGCGAGTATGCTGCCACTGAATCGTCAACGCATATTGCAGTTAATTATAATGTTTGTACAAATAACTGCATTATTTTCACAAAAGCTGCACAAATTAAAAATACGAATAGTGCCAATTGATTACAGGATTTTATCATGAGCTGACATTGGTTAGAGAACCACTGGAAAACCTGGAAGTACTGGACAGCTTTTTCGTCCTAGTTTGAGACTCTTTTGCAGCACGCGCCCACCCACCGCGAGTCGAACCCAGGGCCTTCTGGTTACAAGGCTAGTGAGCTCGTAAGCCATTAAGCCACTGGGACCCAATCCATTGGCCCATGAATTCTAACTTCTGCCAATTCACGACATAGCGCAACCGCTAGCCAATGTCTTCGGTGAGTATTTGTCCTCATACCTGACCTGCTGCACCCTACCGGTCACGACTTCCCACTAGAACCCCAGGTAACTACCTACCTGAATAGGGCCAGTCTCCAGTGAGCATCTCATTGATATTCATGTTTTGGTTTGTAGGGATTTTGATTGATTAGTTACAGGATTTCATTATAATGGTCTACGAGCTCGCCTTGTTACCAGAAGGTCCTGGGTTCGAACCCCGGTGGGTGAGTACTGATGAAGAGTCTCAAACTAGGACGAAACAGCTGTCCAGTACTACCAGATTTACTAATGGCTCTCTAACTAATGTCAGCTCATGATGAAATCTTGTAACCAATCAAATCCCTACAAACCAAAAACAAAATCAGTTGTAAGTATACAGTTAGTACATCAGTCTGGTGTTCATTCATCACATGAAACTTAAAATTACTTTATTGAATTGGTCCGGTGAAACATCACTTCTAGAATACAACAAAATTTGTCCAAAGGGAAAATAATTCCATTTTTGAATCTCTTAGTCATCTGAACAAGTGCAGGAAATTTAAGAACACAATTATACACAAGTTTAATCTATACAGATCAAATACTCGATTACGAATACAACAATACAACAACACTCAAATCATTACAGGTCTAACACATACTGGATTTATTCATATAAATTCACTGGAATAACTTTAGAAATCGATTTAAATGGAATAGTGCAGAAATCTTAGACATAGGGAACGTAAATAATGACAGAGAATTCCTATAAACCGGGTACTCAGATGGACTTGCAGTTATTAGATATGTTCATATAGGTTACATTTATCATTTAATACAACAGACGTCACGCGACCGAAAGGTCAACTGTCAGGTCAAGTGGATTAATAGAAATGCAAGTGGACACAATCATTAAAAAATTTAAATGAAATGCCAATCAATGTAGAGTTCTTTCAGAAAGACGAATATTTCATCCATGCAGAATTACAATAACCTACTTTACACTGAAGTTAGTACTAAGGACGATGTCCAGAAAGACAATAAAAGAATCTCAATTAACGGATTCAGCTATAACAACAAAACTCATGCTTGTCTTAATACATACGTTCATCATTTAAACAGCAAACAGACGCATTGATACTTCCTTACTATCGTAGGCTCCTTATGTATCATTAATATAAATATAAAACTTGGGCACTGTGGTAGAGTATAACTCCATTATAATAATATGAAATGCAATTAAAATATTTGTGATTATAATCATAGTTTAATGTCAAGTGGCAGAATAATTAATGTCATATTTAGAATAATACATAAGGTGTATAGATTTTGGAAAGGGGTACATAACTATAAGATTAGTAGATGAATATAAAATGTTACATAACATGGTATGAAATTTGATAAGATAGAGTTCAGTATTGTAAGAATAAAAAAAATAAAAATCAATAATTTTGTGTTTAAAATGACAAGTGGGTCAAGTGGAAAAGATTCAGAGTGAGAATAGTAATAATAATATTGATAATAATAACGATAATAATAATAATAAATTCATTGAAAAGAGTCTCTTCGCTGAATAGTGTGTTCTTAATGCTAAAATGGGAATTATTAAATTACTTGTTAGAATGTTGTGATGTGTTTGAATTGAAATAGAATTTTAAGATTATTTATTATTCTCTTCTGATTTGACCGGCGGTAATAATATCTTCCATATTTCTGGTATTTGCATTGAGTCATTTCTGTTGCATGTGTTGGGTGTAGACTCGATGAACAAGGATTCAGTAATCAACCTCTCTCTACGCCTACCTAGATTACTTTTTAGAATTTTAACCCTCTCCCACCCTATTGTGTGGTTGTTTGTTAATGCATGAAGTGCAATTGGTGAGCTTTTTTCTAGATTACTTATCTTTTCGGGATCAACCATTCTTCCCTTAGCTAAATTCTTATGTTCTGATAATCTGACTACCCCCGACCTACTAGTTTGACCCCATAGTAACTTATTATGATCATGAAAATACTCGTCTTATTTCCCATCTGATTGTAATTGATCAATAACACTCATATTATTATTTCTGAATGTACATTATCTCATACTGAATTTTATTCTAATATCTAATCGATTCCACACATGTATATAAATGAAGGAAAAAGTTGTGTGAGTAACCTGATATGGTTATGAGCAATAATTTGTGCTCGAAACGTCATCAGTAAATATTACTGTACAACACTGTGTGATTTAAATAAAATCTTATCCATAATGGAATCGTAGGCTCCTGACTTTTTCAGGCGCCAAAACAAAAGATATCTTTCTTCGTATTTCTTATAAATCACAGTAACTTCAATAAACAAATAATTCTTTCTTCCTTATCAACTCACAGAAATATTGTCTATTGCATCCTTCTACTAAGTGGATAAGAATTCATGTTTACAAATCATAATTATTATTCGTTTCTTGAACTTTGAAGCACTTCTTTAACTTACTTTTTTCTATTTTGTCTTTTTTAACTGGTTCTACAATCGCCAATATGATCTCTTCCATGTTTTCGTCGGAGCAACGCCAAAACCGCCGCCTCCCATTCTCACTACACTCTATGGCCAACCTGGGGTACAATGTCACTCAATATTCTTCTCAGAGTATATCCAATAAACTTTCATCCCCTTCAGCATATTTGTTGGGTAAAAGCTCCTTGGCTGCTTTGCTTCACTGCAAGTGTTCCTTTACGCTTACCCTTTTCGTCCATCTATCTGATCCACAGTATAGAGCAAGCGAAGTGATTATTAATTTTAGTTTTCTATACTGGACACCCATCTTGTAACTTCAAGTCCAAGCCAAGATAGCCTGCTGAAGCTTTAAGCAATATCAATTATCTGGTAATCATGAAATTAATGAATACATAAAATTCCTCTTCTGAATCTTTGCAGAATAGCTAATCTAAACGTTTGTCTTTTAAAAGTTTAACTTCCGAGTACATATTTCGTTATGAAGTGTAAACACTACTTTCATACTCAGTTTCACCTTCAAACGAAAACACTTTCACAAAACAAGGAGATACAAACTGATTACCTGATGGTAACTAATGTAGCCGCTTAATTCTATGTATTCAGACATCCGAAGTGTGTGAACTATAATTCATTAAGGACTTCATTTAACAAGTGATGAATCTGGACATGAATAGCATGGTTGTAAAATCTCCGATACTCATGTGGAACTTATGGACAACATGAAATCCCTCAAACTTGCAGATGCATCCTTTTAGTATGCACCGACTTGTTGCATCTATAACATCATTTCAATAAAAACAAGTTAACGGATATACAGATACGATAATAACTTCCTTATCTGGAAATCCTAATGCCTCTTTCTTTACATGTATAATGACACTACTAACTTTCTTGCACTAAGAAAAGAAATGAAATGAAGTTTTGGAACATTTTAGAATTTACCCAAAAATTATTCCTTCTCACATTTTAAGGTAGACACCAGATTTGATCTGAGTAAGTTTAAAGTACATTCCTATCCTATATGAAGCCCTATATGTATCCTTGAGAGGTTTTAAAGTGTTCACATGATTTTTGTTAGGTATACTTAAATATTCTTTCGTTCTACTTACTCACCAAGATATAATCATCCCTAAAAAGGCAATAAATCAGCTATATCAGTTGGAATTTGAAGTATCCACTATATGATTTCAACGCGGATTACATACACATACACATACACACCACTGAAGATGGTGTAAATAAAGTTTTAGAAAGAAAAAAAGTAACACTGATATCAACTTTAACTAGTAGATATTAACAATAAAAACTACCTATAATCTATATAACCTTTGATCTCTCTGTAATATGGTGATATTTATGAATTAGATCAGTAAGCAACTTACTTTAAAATCACACAATCTGAAGTGATGAACTAGAATCGTTGTACTCAGCAAAATATTTTTTAAGAGTAGTAAAATACTATATGTTTCATAATGAAATATATATATATGATGAGTTGTATGCCACATAAGTAAACTGAGAATTTATACAAGATGTTATTCATTCTAACGTCATTCATTTGTTTATATTTTAAAATTGGTTACTTCCTCATCTGTATCTGTGAATTCATTTCACTGAAAGTGACAAAACTGAAATCAGCACTATTAAGTCCATTTAACTTGTCAAATGGACTTAATAGTTCAACTCAACCCATTGACACATTCAATGGTAGAGGGCTAATTAAGTATGAATTGCGTTTGGAATATGCAATCAGTTTGCTAAAAACTACTAATGAAGATCATGTAAACACAGCTATGGAAATAATATTATGTAAGTGATTTTCGTTACTATCCTACACTTACCACTTAATTTATTAATTTTTTTTAGATATTTTAAGAAACAACCAGTTAACCAGATTACAATCGGAATGTTTATATTATCTGGCTATTTCTTGTGCAAAACTAGGTGTAATGAGTTTAGATTTGCTTTCATAGTGATTTCCTCTCTTTATAGGATTATGATAAGGCAATGATGTATTGTCAACACTTACTAACATTTCATCCAAATTGTGACAGATCGAACAGACTGCTGGCGAAGATTCAGTCACGTGCTTTACAAGGTATGTCTCTTTCATATAATATAATATAATATATATATGTATATGTGGTTACCGTAGCTAGAGAATTCAGTGATTCATCAGAAAGCGATTCACACATCTATAAGTCGTTGTCCCGCAGTCACTTAAATTAAAATTATGCGGTGAAATTATACGGATAGAACTGATTATAAGTAATAAGCTAACACAAACTAGAATAAAGCTTTACAAATGTTGGGTTTTTGATGGGACTCATTTATTTTCAGAGTAGATTTCATCACGAATCGAGATATTCTGAAAACCAATCAGTAGCAAGAAGCAACAGATTTCTGTCTCTAACTCCTCTGACACCCCATAGTGAATACTCACTGCCAGAAGTTATAGAAAAGACTACTTCTTTAACAGAAGAACATGTCAGTATCCTTGGAATCGATGCTGACCTGATGAGCGATTGTGACTGAGAATCTTAACACATCAGTTATAAGGACAAAAACTCTCCTATGACACTGGTAACATTATATGGATAATTTGTGAGAAATCAGAAATCGTCGATAACTGTATTTTACTCCACTGGTTTAATGGTATCAGACTAAATTTCTAACCTCAATAACCTGGATCCTATTCATGATGTGATTGTTGGCGAGGATAATTGAGAAGCTCTATACGCGAATGAAACAAAAGTCCATTGATCAAAATATCCGACCCTGTAACACAGCTTTAAATTAATTTATGGTAGTCTTATTCAAGAATATCTGTTATCACAGCTTATTTTACGCTTAGAAATGTTCCACCAAAATTCTGTGAAAGATTCATTCAGTAAATACGAACTAAGGGTAAGCTGCACGTCTCACCTCTTGAACAATTTTATGGTTGAAATGAGAACAACAAACTGTGGGCAAAATTATATTCTTACATTAAGAAACAAATAATAATTTAATCATGATAATAGTAATTTAAATAATTCCTCGGTCACCTGTTGGCATTATGTACACGTATATGTATAACGCTTTTATATACTGAAACTATTATATTTTTAGAATTTTTAATATATTTGTGCGTTGAAGTTTCTGTAGCAAGTTGGCTAAGTTTTGGGGGTGGAGTCGCTAGCACCACGCTCCAACCCTCCCTCTTTATCCGGGCTTGGGACCGGCTAGAAAACTATGTGAACTAGTAATCTAGGCGAGGTTATATACTGAAATAGCTACCTTGAAATATCTAAAGAAAGTGTGTGAATACACATGGACACTGCCGTTTACCTGTTATTACGAATTAGTGTTTCCAGGAGGCAAAAACAATCTCTGCAGATATCAAAATGCTCAGCAGATTACTCAGAATGAATACGATCATACTAATGAAAGGCTGTTTAATTAATTATTTACATCTACAAGGCAAAAAGTAATTTACCGAAACCACTATGTTCCCGACTCATCTGTATTACTGAAGCTTTGGCTATCGAAACAGAAAAGCCAGATCTTTGTGTACAGAAAAAGTTCGTTCAACCTTTCCAACTTTGATGGTCTTAATCCCACTTCACTAAAGTATGGTAACGCCTAATTATATTTTGGCTCCACCAATATATTCATTTTGTCCATTCAATTTGTATATTCTTCCTTTATTACGTCAATTGTTACTATTACTATTCTCACTTTGAACTGTCCCCGGTATTATTTCACTTGTTCTACTTGTCATGTTAAATCAATTTTGTTTTGCAACGTTAAATTCTATGTTATCGAATTTCACACAATATTACGCAACATTTTCATTTTATTCGATTCGCCTACTAATCCTATAATATACATAAATGACATCAACAGAATTTATGATGAGATTATTTGGGTTAGCTTTGAGTAGGTGTGAGTGATGACTAAAGATGAAATTAAAATGAATCGTTGTACTAAACAAACTGTTAGAAAATATGATATAAAAGGAAACTTTTTGTATTAAACATAAACAGCCTGTTGATTAAAACCTTAGTATTGTAATCAAGATGTTTAACCAGACAAGAAGCATAAATTAAGTCATAAATAATTAGTTAAACAGCCTTTCAATAGTATGATCGTATTCCTTCTGAGTAATTTGCTGAGCATTTTGATATCTGTAGAGACTTATTTGCCTCCTGGAAACAACAATTCGTAATAACAGGTAAACGGCAGTGTCCATGTGTATTCACACACTTTCTTTAAATATTTCAACGTAGCTATTTCAGTATATAAAGACGTTATACATATACGTGTACATAATGCCAACAGGCGACTGAGGAATTATTTAAATTACTATTATCATGATTAAATTTTTATTTGTTTCTGTATGTAAGAATATAATTTTGCCCACAGTTTGTTGTTCTCATTTCAACCATAAAATTGTTCAAGAGGTGAGACGTGCAGCTTACCCTTAGTTCGTATTTACTGAATGAATCTTTCACAGAATTTTGGTGGAACATTTTTAACCGTAAAATAAGCTGTGATAACAGATATTCTTAAATAACACTGGCATAAATTGATTGAAAACTAATAAACAGAATTGAGTTGGAATCTTTCGAGGGAGATTTCACTGTGTTACAGGGTCGGATATAATGATCAATAGCAAAACAATAAAACGCTGGACCTTTGTATCATTCCCATTTAGAGCTACTGAATTATTTTCACTTACAACTGTCCCCGGTATTATTTTACTTCGTCCGCTTTTCATTCTAAATTAATTATTTTTGCAACGTTATATTCTATGCTTGAATTCCACAAATTATTACGCGACGTTTTCATTTTATTCGATTTGTCTACTAATCCTATAATTACACTCCCTTTTTTCAATTTCTCCCTCTATCTCTTTCTATATATATATACACTGGTATACTCCTGCATCATATATTATGTTGAACTAAAATATTTCTTTCAAAATAAGCTAAATAGGTAATACGAGGTATTTCTTGAGTCAATGAACAAATGTAAACCAGGAAGATCTTTGTATAAGGATTAGGAAGCTAAGTTCTATGTTGCATACTGAAATAAATGTTGTTTTGTTTCATTGGGATTAAATGCACGTGGGAATTTTTCTCTTAGTACATCTCATATAATCTGTTTTATTTAAATAATCGAAAAGATACTCATTTTACTAACATTGGTGTTTAATAGATTTGAGTAATTTTCTGTAATAATACTTCAAATGAAGACTGAAAGTATAAGGCAGTGGACTGACCGTCTCATTTCAGAAAAATAACTTAGCGAGTTGCAATCTTATATCACATCAGGCTTTAATAATGTTTTCTAAAAAACCAGTTTCATATTGTTGAAGAACTTCATAAAAGTAAACACCTTTCATAAGTACTTCACCAATTCATACAATAATTTTGATGGTCACTTGACGAATCATAAGTTCATGAAAGACACAATTTACAAAACCACTGACAACTGTTCGCTGTTGAACAGCTATTTGCTCGGCATTCAGAAGCTTACAGCAGTGTCTAGTTACAGTAACTGATAGACTAAACTTAAGACAATCAGAGGTGTCAATATGGAAGACGTCACCATTTAACTATTAAATAGATATCCAGTTATCTTAGCTACACTGATTACAGAGTTCACGTCGATATTAATTTCAGTGACACTGTGACTTCATATAAGGAATTTCTTTACTTTATGTATAACGAGTTCATTACTAATGTACTATTAGCTCTGAATATCTTTGTAACAGATAATAATATTCTTACCTATAAACAGAACAATATTACCTTATCATCAGTATTCTTATATAACGTAAAAGAACATATCGGAGGTATTTTCAAAGTGTGTGACATAGGCTAAAATTATTTGATGAGTTTAATACACCTAGCTGTCGTCTCGTATATTCCTTTTTACTTTATTGTTAATTAGTAAGCATTTTCTCGTACCATATGATAAATCAATGTTTTATGTTATTAACTTCGCACCAAACTTTCAACTGGCTGACTTCTGTTTAGATGAAGATATGAAAATAGGATGATCATTAAACATTCAGTAACAGTTCTTTAACTTAATGTCCTCTGAAAATTACATGAAAAGTCTATTTTAGTTTAACGAATTCAAAGTGTATTTTCACCGAATGGAACTCAATAGTGAAATATTTTTATCCAGCATCATATTTTAAGCATCAAACACCAAATACGTGTTAAGTTCAGAAACTTTATGTTTAGGAATGAATATAACTAGACGTCAGTTTAAGATAGAGAAATGAAGTTATTTCTCGATGAACATTCATTATATACGTGTTTACATATTGTGATTACTTAAGTTAATTTTCGTGAACCTAGGCAGAGTGGAATGGAATAGAATGTCACTCAAAAACCAATCACAACTGACAATGAGTCACATCTGTTGTGTGAAGGTTAGGGATACTACCTGGCTGTGTACACTTAGGTAGGTGGAGAGGGCTTCCAACTCGCTACCCATTGGTTGGATGCTGACAGCCTAAACCAATCGGCCACAGCTCCTTTTCTAGTGACCCTAGGTAATAAGCTGAAGTAAATTAGTCACAGCTATCGTCCCCCCAAAAAAACCGCCAAGTCTTACGAAAAATCAACAGTGATCGAACAGTACCTAAGGGAACAACACTATATTTTGTAGTCCTATTTTATCTCTAGTGGTACCAGTTGCTTTTCTTCATTGTATAAAATGTGTTTAAGAAAAAGAGAAATTGCATTTTGTCTTTCTGTAATTGCTTCATTCTCTTGCATCACAAGTAACCATAAAGTTTAAAACTTGACTTTCATTTGCAAAAATAGTTTAATCAGGAATTTACCAGCAAAACAAATGGCTTTAATCTGGCGTCGTCTATAAAACTGGGAAAAGACGTCAGTCAGAGGTAACTGAACATGTATTGTCAAGGATTGTAGCGGCAGTTGTTCACTTTGTTGTTAGCATATTTGATACTGATTCAAGCCATACAACACTATATCTATGAATCAGCAGGCGATTCGCATTTCAAGATATTCTGGTGTTGAAAACACTTATTAACTTAGCATACATCTCATTTGTTTTTCTAAATGATTCTATATTTATGATTTCATTTTCTCAGATGCACAAGAGGATTCCAGCATAATGAAGTGTCCTAAATCAAATTGAGAATTCTTTCATGAAGATATTTATAACACCAAAATGACATGCAGTATTATTGGTGTTTCTACTCATACTAATAAAAATTCAGATTTCAAGTCTTATTAGATATGAACAATACTTCACCTTTGTTCATTTAAAAAAATCAACAACTCATTTAAACAAAATCATTATTACCTTATTTGAAATACCAATCCTTCATAAGATCACAATGATTTTTTTATTTCAAAAACTAACTGTTTTCAAACTACATGAATTGGAAAGATCAATGAAAACGAGAAAAAAAATGTAAACTCCGATAATAAAAATTAAAGATATAGTTTCATAAGCTACAAATTACTGAATGTGTTATAAAGAATTCTTATTTATTCGACTATGTTTTTACTCCATAACAAATAGTAATTGAATGATTTTGTTTCTCAAAAACAAATAATCTTTGAAGCTAACGATAGCTAGTTTAAAGAAGAGGTTTTAAAACTCCTTTTACGAATGTTCACAAATAGCTTCAAGGACCTGATCAGAATCAAACTTCCAATTACTACGGCTCTATGATTAGCTTACCAATTCGTCTTTCTGTTATTTACTAGATAATGCTGATTATTTCTTTTCACTGTCTACATTTCCTCCCAACTAACAATGAGTCATAATGACAAATTTCGTAACACTGTTTTAGTCGACATCTAAGATAACTAAAAATTGTAAACATTGTCAAACAACTTCGAATCATGAGTCGTGAGCCATAACTATAAGCGAACAACCATAAACATTCAACCAAATATTAGCAAACTACCTTTCTCTCTGTGTGTGTGTAGATTTTATCCTGTAAAACACAAAATTTCATCTAAAAATTAAAATTATGCTAATTAATGTAAAGGATTTCAGTGGAAAACTTGACTCTTAAACTAAATCACTATGAAAATCTGCTTATGCTGTCTTTGAAATAACAATTACTCCAGGATTAGTATTGTGTCCCCAGCAAACTCCTTAGTTTCTGTAGTTGAAGGAAACCGTAACTCAAATTCGAACAAATTGTGAATACAAGTGTCAGTGTCTGGCCACAACCAGATACAGAAGAACACGTATAAAAGTATAAATAGAGACAACATAATTGTGAGATTCGAAAGAAATGCAGTCAAGAACTAAGCAAAACATTACACACAATCCGCTAAATATTGACATCTAGCGAATGCAGTACTGATTGATTGTTTAGAAATCCAGATCCAATATCCAATATCGTTTTTACGAGCTAGTATAAACCAATTTGATTTCTTTGTGCTCGCCTCTTGATTGTGAGGTAGAGGTTCCTGATCTTTGGTAAACGTCTGTGTAGCTCGTCCCGCCACTCGACTGTCGTAGCTTTGGTTGACTCCAACAGGAGTAGTGCTGGGATTAATTATATGGCGTCTGTAGTATGAAGTGTGTTAAGACTGTTACTACTGTGAATGGAGTTGATCCTTTCACCAGTTAGTCTTTCGGTATCGTCGTCAATGGAAAAGAGATAATAATAATAATAATAGATATAATTAGTAAAGGTATTCAGACTAACAGACAGAGAAAAAAATAAGAAAACGTAACAACAGTCAGTCAACCGGTATACATACATATATATATATACATATATATATATATATATACCAGTAATAATGATAATAATAATAATAATAATAATAAGTGTAGTTAAAGCTGTCAGGAGAGTAAGACTGAAGGGAATGTGAAGAAGTAAAACGACCAGTTTAATTGTCTACCTTTGAATGGTATATGCGATTTTAAGGGGATAGGCCATTTGGATACAGTCCTTGTGTCGCTGCAAGGTTGTCCAGCCTTCGCTTAAAGGCGTCCACAGATGGTGCCATAGCTACATCTGCCGGTAAGGAATTCCAGGGACGGCAAACCCGCAGGGAAAAGAAGTGGGAGCGCACCTGGGTCCTTGCCCTCTGATGAGCTATCCTTCTGGGATTTCCACGAGGGAGCCTATACCTACTCAATGGCAGAACACCTTTGTTCGGGTGATTCTGATCATTTGTTATTTTGTAGGCAGTAATTAAATCCCCCCTCAGGCGACGGTAACTGAGTGTGAATAGGCCTAATTTCTTCAGACTTTCGTCATATGGTTTATTTCGGAGACCAACCACTCCTTTTGTTGCCCGTCGTTGGGCTCTTTCCAAGAGGTTGGCGTCTCTTTTAAGCAGTGGGGGTGCAATGATATTATGCACTTCAAGATGCGGTCTGACGTATGTTTTATACAACCTTAGAGCTCAGAAGTGAGTGCACCTAATTGTCTATGTGTAAAGTGTATGACCGCATATGCCCTCGCTACATCCCCCGTGTAATTCACGCTTGTGTCCATTTTCTCCGTTAGAACTAGACCTAAGTCACGTTTCGAAGTTTAGCAGGACAAGCTTTCATTGCACAGGGTGTAACTTGCATTCTGCAGTCTACAGGTGCGCAACTTCGCTACTTTGCACTTTTTCAGGTTGAAATTCATGCCACTGGCTACCGCCCAGTCTTCCAGAAGGTTTATATCTTCCTGTAGCCTATCTGAGTCCTCCGGACACTTTATCGCCCCCATATCTTCACGTCGGGCAGCGTATAGAAGAGTCGGACAGCGTAGACGGCATGGTAGATTATTGACAAAAATCAAGAACACCAATGGTCCTAGGATAGAACCTTGCAACACTCCTGATGACGAGTTGTGCCAAGATGATTGGACTCGACTAACCTTAGTGCAAAAGTGCCTTTCAGCTAGGTAGTCCTTTAACCATGACAGAAGTGGCTTACCTATACCTGTCTGGCTTATTTTGTGTAGGAGAAGGTTATGGTGAACTATGTCGAATGCCTTCTCAAAGTCTAGGAAGATCACATGGACAGGAACATTCACATCCCAGCACGATGTCCAATCGTCCCAAAGTGACAGTAAGTTAGTAACGCAAAGTCTCCCTCTCCTGAAACCATGTTGGGCTTCATGGAGTATATTAGACCTATCGAGATTTCCCTGATGTGATCGTCAATAATACTTTCCAGTACTTTTGATACCACTGGGATTAGAGCTACTGGTCTATAACTAGTGGGATTTTGCCTATCCCCACCCTTGAAGATCGGAGAAAAGATGGCTCTTTTCCATTCCTTTGGCAGTTTCCTCGATTCCATGGAGTGTTGGAACAAGTCGCATAAGGGCCTACAGAGAGCTTCGGAGCACTGTTTCAGAACAGATGGCCTGATGTCATCACAACCTGAGGAATTCCCAGGTGTGAGTCGCTGCAGCTTTCTTCGTACTATTGCGGGGTTTATTTGAGGGGTGGCTATTTGGTCTTCCTCCTGTGAAATAGTGATGCCACCATTTTGGTCCGTAACGGTAATACCCACATTGCTGTTTAGCTGTTTGGCGAAGGCTAAACTGAATGTTTCAGCCATATCCAGACTAGTGAGATATTGACCGTTTTGGCCTACTAAGGCGCAAGCCCCTTGGTTGGTTGGTTTCCTTTCCGACATGAATCGGTACAAATTCTTCGGGTTTGCCAGGAGTTTTTTAGCAAGGCTAGCCTGGAATGACCTTCTGTCCCTCCTGACTCTTGCATTGCACCGGTTCCTGAGTTCCAGGTATGCATCATGGTCGATCTGGCTTTTAGATACGCGCCACGTAAACCAAGCCTTCCTCTTTGCTTGCAGAATACGCTGCGTGCCTCTCTTTAACCATGATGACTTTCTTTTTGGCTGTGCTGTGACTAAAGGGACGGTATCCGAGATCGCTGTATGAATAATCTTTTTTACCGCTTCCCAGTGTTCATCCACAGACAGCTCATCCCATGCTAACGGCCAGTCTGCATTGGACAAGAGCCTCCGCATTTCAGCGTAGTCAGCCTTGCTGTAACACAGACATGGATGCGTAGCGTCCCACTGCAAGTGCTCACGGAGAACGAGGTCGAAACCTATGACTGCATGGTCACTACTTCCTAGAGGAGTCATGACCTGGACCTTTTCGACGAGTAATTGGTCACTAGTTAGAATGTAGTCTAGTTTTGATGACTTTCCACTAGGGCCCCACCTAGTGTCGTCTCCAACATTCTCAGTCAGTCCCATGACCCGAATAGCTTGCCGAATTTTCCCTTAGCATACCCCGAGCCAAGGTTCAGTGATGGGGCATTGAAATCTCCAGCAATGGTGATTTGGTCATAGCCCAAGTCTCGTATCCCTGTGATAGTGCTGAGCAGTAGCTGATTGTGCTCTGCCCCACAGGTGGGAGATCGGTAGATGCCACCAAGTAAATGCTTGGTGTGGCCTACGGTGAAATGACACCATATGGAGTCTGGGAGTTCAATAAGTGGTGGGTTCGTTGCGCGAACACATTTAAGTTGCCTATCAAAGTATATGGCAACTCCCCCTCCTTCCTTATTATCCCCGTCTCTCCTGACCAAAACCATATCACCTATACTGATTTCATTATCGGCGATAGTGGGGGTTAGCCATGTTTAGGTGAGAATGATTATTTTCAGTTGTAGGTGTGCTTGGAGATTTCGGAGTTCACCTATCTTTACTCTCAGCCCCCTCACATTGCTATACAGGCAGCTGACAGTGAGTCTTACAACCTCAGCGTGTTGTGGTGTAGTTGACGTGAAGCTGTCTGCTGGTAGGGAACTTAGTGTTGGGACTAATTGGCCAGTTCCGATGGAACCGGCCCATTGTGGTTTTTTCCCTTGGATTTAGGCAGGACACTTGGGTGGCACAGACTGTTATCCTCAGAACTGCATCGCTCGAGTGTCACTGAAGCTTGGGGACGTATTAAAGCCTCAGTTCGCTGCCTCATTATGATTCGAGGTCTGCTTTCGCAACATCGGATGTGTCCTCCCATTTTTCCCTTGATCTCATACCACCGTTGAAGTGTTATGGCCAACTGCTCTGGGGAGTTGAATGTGACACTAAGCAGCTTTGGGGAGCTAATCAGTGTGAGATGAGCGGGGCGAGGTAGTCGGTAAACGGAGATGGCTCCAGAAGCGCCAAGGGCCATCTGAGAC